TCCAATGACTGCTGGAGATGAGCATTTACTCCTTATAATCCTGCAAGGATTAAACAGGTGTGGAAATTGATGGCTGATTCTGTTGAGCACAATCCCTTAACAGTCACTCAGTATGCTTGTATATCACTTTTCTTCATCTGATCCAAGTTCTGATATACATTTTACTTAAATTCCAAGAATAATCCGGACAATTTTCACTGGACCTGAAAGTTATAGACACTGTCACTCAAAATCATTTCAATTTGTGCTTAGATCTCTGCATCTTCCAGCCTTTTTATGTTCTGTTCAGCTCCATTGAGATTGTGTCAGTGTTTAAATTCAAGTACCATAGAAACCTCCTTGAATCCAAAGTTATTATTCTGATCCTGTTAATGTCAATTTCTATTCAACTATTGATAGTCTGATGGCTTTCCTGTTTTAAAACGAGCCCATAATTGTAAGAAAACATAGAATAGAAAACAGATTAAGGTTACCACTGAGTCCAACCTTCATGTGTTTGCACGACACGGCAGTCTAAAAATGTACAGCTGTGTATGTGTATGCATATATGTCATGCTCTTTTAATGGTTCACTAATCCCAAGTGCATTTGGCAGACAAATTAATCCAAGCCTCGTCATAGCCAAGCTCTAAACCTGCCCCCCGCATGTATCCCGTAGACCCATCTCCATCTCTCTTTGGATCTCTCCCCAGGCTTTACTGTACCAGTATGCATCTCCAGATGGTATCGTGGAGGTAGGTGTGAAGTGAGATAGAGAAAGAGAGACAGACAACAAACAGAGAGATGGTGGGAGACCTGTGACGGACAAAGCCTCCTCATTGGAGCAGAGAGGAAGCGAGACAGACAAGATAGAGACAGACAGAGAGAGTTATAGCGAGAGAGAGAGAGAGAGAGAGGAGGGTGTTCATTTGTTGCCATAGTGAAAAAGTAGATTAACCACAGTGAGCATGATGCCGTGATGCACTGGTGAGGACTGCTGTGTTTCTGTGGGAGTATGCACCCCTGCAAGCTGAGGTATGTGACTCTTAACTTCTTTTATTTGGTACGCACAGTTGAAAACATTTTGCACGCGTTTAGGTGACCTAGTCCAAGCAACCTGTCACGCATTTCAGAGATAGAAGTATTTCCAGATAACTCTCTGTTTCTTGGACACCTTTGGGGATATTCCTTTGCAAAAGAAAAACAAAAATCTAAAGAAAAAAAAAAAAGCCTCAACAATTTGAAAATGTTGTTTAGAATCAATACCTGATGCCTGATCCATAAATTTCTGAGCTACATTAAGGTGCAGTTTGTTATTGTACTTCCAGACAAAACTGTTTCTGAAATCTTATTGTCTGCTTAGCCACAGTGGAGGAAAAGCCACACTTCTGGCTTTCTTTCACACAAAAAGAAAGAAAAATATTTTAAAAAATTTTATAGTAACAGTCATATTTTGCATTCAAAGGATCTGAAAAGAATATATTTGAAATACAAATTTTTGTAGAGTATTAAGAAACTTGTTGTGTCTGGCAGCCTCTGTGTTTTCATTGCATAATGGAGACCTTAGTGAGGTGCTTCCATTAGATTTATATTGACTTTTTATCACTAATGATTTAATCCCTGTGGCTCTGTAGCAGGATGCCAAACAAATCCGTACAGGTTAATGGCTCTTTTACTCTCATGCGACCGCATTGAAACTTCAAATGTTAATTGATCTCCTCCTCTGCATCGTCATCTCCTGGAGTCACCTCTGGTGGCTGTCTGATCTGTGAGGAGAAAAAGAGATACACCCAGTCTATCTTGATCTGAAACATTGATTAAACGCACATAAATGGGCAATTACAACATAATAAGCTGACATCCACCTTTTTATAGAAGCATTAAAAAAACTGAGAAATCAGGAAACAAGCAAAAGACACAGCTGAGAAAAAGAAACAATGAAGGCTTTGATTTTTGTTCTGCTTGCTGGTGTCCTAATATCGACTGATATCTTGTATAACAAAATTTAACACAGCCTATTAAAGAAATCAAATTAGCTGCTCTGATTGGCACAATTATGCATTTAAATGTGCCATAAAGTGCCTGGTTAACACACATGGTTAGATGTGAGTTAACCAGTTTGCTATGGAGAGCCAACAGTCTAAACTGCAGATAAATACTGTGATCAAGATACAAAGATGAGTCCCTGTGTAATCTGCCTCTGGCCCTTGACAAATCACCAACAGAGGAGGCTCAGCCTGAGAGTTTTTGAAAACGAAGAGGAGACGGCAGAACCATAAGTGGCAAAGTACAGAGAGACAAGGAGCTCTGTATATGAAGTCTAACATCTCACCTGCATCCTTATTTTTTTTAACAATACAAAAATTCACTTGGAGTGGTGGCATCATGTTGGAAAGCCAAACCTGTTGATTTGTTCAGTGGATTCTTCAAACAACTCACATCATCCAGCTCTGAAGACAACTTGCCTTTTGAAACACTCACTATTACAATCCTGTAGACAGTGCAATGTTGTAGTAAGGAGTTAACCTTGAGCATTGACTTGGTCCTTGCCAACACTGACATATGAACTTACTAGATATCCCAGCACTGAGAGTTTAGTGAAAAAACTCTCTTTTTCGCTGCCTTTCTAAAACCACAATCAATTCAATTCCAAAATATTTTATTTTATTTATATTTGTCACTATTTGCATTGCTTATGGGGTAAAGGAGTTTTTTAATATCTTACTCGGCCAACGTATCTAAAACAACATCAACATTTCAGTTTCACTGATTTTATTAGTGAAAAACTGTCGACTTGTAATTTTCAAAAGTGTCTGCATTGTTTTTAGTCGTCTGATGATTACTATAGTAATGTTATGGTTTACTTGAGGTACTGCTGGGTACCATTTAGTTCAGAAATCAAACCATGGTTATGGTGCAGCAAATGTCAGGAAAGTCAATCTTTTCAGTCTGCCCATGGTGTCAAGGAAGAGTTTCAGTTTATCAATGTTCTCCTTCATAATAATGAATAAAGTTACTATAGAAGAGGCAAAAAAGGACAAAATTATTTATGCTGTTCATCGGCCTTAATTCAACTTTAACTTGAATAAAGTTGCAAAAACATCCCACCGAACATCATCAGTGTTCCAGTAGTAAATTAGAAAACCAATGCTGCTTGCTGTACAATCAAGCTCATGATGAATAGAGTTTGTTGCATATACTTCAGAAGACAGACTTGAAATGTAGTTGCGTGGCTGGCCTGAACTATGCTCCAGCTTCAAACTTGAAAAACTGTGAAATTAGCTAATTAAACTCTGTACTCAGCTGTTGCCCGGTATTGGCTTGCAGCAAGAAGGCCCTGGGTTCAAAACCTGACCTGGAGTTTGCATGTTCTCCTCGTGCATGTGTGGGTTCTGTCCATGTACATCCTCCCACAGTCCAAAAACAAGACTGTTGGACTATTCGGTTGTAAGGCACCGGCTCTCTTACAACGCAGCAAGGATTAACTAGACTGAATGGACCAACTTAAGGTACCTTACAACAAGGATAACATTGGATACCAATGTTGTTGTTGGATATTGTTGCAAACAAAATGTTCCTCTCTAGTCTCTTTTCTAACATCACAGAATCCCCTCCACTTTGTCTGAACTTGACTGCTAAGAAATATCAGTTGTGGTTATAATGGATGGTGAAAGCTTATTCATTAATTATCAGAGAGCAAATTTTTATGGCATATCTGTTGAAATATTATAGCCTACCAAATATTCAATTGAAGTGGTCCATTGGTTATATTGATAATGAGATGACCATTGCAATTCAATATGTACTCAGGCGCATTTCTAACACTTGAAGAACATGAAGTCTGATTTAACACTATAAAAACAATCTGAAGTGCTAATAAGCAGTTTATTGTTTAGACTATTGGCAGGTGTCATATTAGATTGTGTAGTTTGGTTAGATGAAAAAGCTTCAACCGCATCGGAATATTTTGGTAAGTTCAGGTTTTTTTCAAATACACCATGACTATTTCCTTACCTTACAATCAGTACCAAATAAGGTAGGATGCATTATATCAATACACACTCTAAAATCTGCTTGGCTAAAAGCAACACATATAGGATTATCTTGGTGACCAGACATGCTACATGTATCCAGGTGTAGGTGTATTTAATGCAACAGGACTGAGACAATGGGACAATGTAAGGCAAGGACATAGAGCCACTCTCACCTGAAGACAGTTTGAGGTGACGAAGACATGTTTTTGGGCTGTGAAGCTACAGAGTACCCAGAGATAACCCACACATTCACATAGAAAACAGAATCATCAGCAACTGTTTCAAAACCTTGTTACCCTGTGGACTGAAAAATTGACCCAATGTTTCATAAAAAGTGCCCAGACTGTACTCCAGCTGAAAGCCTCAGGTACACTAAAACGTTGAATACTCACACCTCATTGGGTCTGTACGGGACAGGAAAGTGGTGCAAGCTGAAAGCTGACTGTGAAAATTGGAGAAGAATGCTTCAGACAAGTGGCTCTGCTGAATGAATTTGAGCAGCAGCAGAGGGGCTTGAGGAGAGGGGGAGGCAGCAGGGTGAAGAGAGAGGAGGGGGGGAGGATGAAATGAGGGGAGATGTGCTGAAAAGAGGAGGAGCAGAGGGGTGTGTTGGAGGAGAGAGGTGTTTGGAGAAGAGGCTCAGGTGTGCGTGACTGGAAAACCGAGGAAGCTTCGGAAGCTGCACAGCGATCTGCTGCTGCTGCTGCTGCTGCTTTCGGGCTGTTTGACATTGGGGTGTCGGCAGTCTCTTTCGTCTGTGGTGCCAGCATGCATCTGAATTGTGAAGCGGGACCGCGAGGGTGATTTCAGAGAGACATGGAGGACCATGTGAGGTAAAGATCTGAGTTAAGATTTGAGAGAAACATGCCTGCAATGAAAGATACGCGTAATTTATCCACTAAGGGTATATATACTCAGTGTTCTGTTCTCTGACTGGAAGAAATATTTTGTCGCACTTTTCTTGCATTAACTTGCAGTAACATTTTTTTTTTTTTTTTTTTTTTTTGCCGCGACTCACTCAGAAGGTAACCCAGTTTAAGAAAACATCCCGTTCCTCCGGTGTGAGTGGGGGACACAGTCGTTATCCGTGAGACAGACGGGGGGACTGAACCCCGCGTTTCATCTGTGCACGCTGCAGCAGCCTTCATTTCAGACGGTGTCTCTGTCAGGTTTTTGCGTCCTGCGGTCGTTCTAAATCGTGCTTAGTTAGACTGGGTGCAAACGTTGGGCTCTCATCGTATTTTGCGGTAGGTGCTGTTGCAGCGCTGCGCCAGTGCTTCTCCTTGGAGAGCCAGGCACTTTGACCAGACGCTGCTCGTCGGTGATTAATTGAGGGCTTGCCAAATGTCAGCTTAGTCTGGTAATTAAACTCAGAATACATGCATGCATGCTTGCAAAAAAAAAAAAAAAAAAAAAAAAAAAAAAAAAACAACAGAAAGAAAGAAAAAAAAAGATTAAAACAGGTATCTGCATAGCGACTATCAGAGGAAAGTCTGAACGGCTTGCAGGAGAGGCGACAAAAGGTCAATGCTTTTCCGGTGAGTTATGCATTCTCTGTTCTTGCACACCTTTTGTGATGTTTGCGTCAGGTAGCGGTGCCACCTGGCTGTTGACACATGTGGTCATATTACTGAGATTGTGTAACAACCATGTAAGCCTGTCAAACTGTGCAGCAGCCGTACAGGTGTCTGCTCTCAGCCTTTAATGCCTGATAATAACTAATTTGTACCAGACATTCCCTATTTAGAACAAAGTGCACACCTGAAACCAGACAAACAAAAAAAGTCTAACTTCTGTAGGCAGTATTTTTAATCTGCGCTTTGGAAATCACTCCTAAAATGTCACAAAGGTAATCCCAGAAATTAAGTGATGACCTTTACTGACAACCCCTTAAAAAAATAATAAGACTGTGAAAAATATTGCTTTCTCTGGATCTCTGGAGAAGATAGCCCCCTCACTCAGGAATAAGAACACAGAGACACTGCCAAACGCCCACTCAGCATAAGAGCAGAAGCCTTCCTTGAATGGGGAACAACAGAAAAAATCAGAGTGACCTATTTACGTTTTACAGCTTAATTCCAGAAAAAACATGATTCAGTGTCGGTATTGTCTTTTTTTATTTTTTAAGGGTTCCTGTGAAATGTATGCAGCCACATAGCAGCATACGCGTTTGCCCTCAGAGAATGATTCTGTGCAGCAGGAGAGTGAAGTGCTCAGTCCAGCAGGGTGATAACAGAATGGACCTCTTTTAAATTCATGTGGGTGGACATGCATCCATTTGTGAATGGTATGTTGGGTGCTTGCGCTTTTTCCATCCTGTGTTTGTTTCCCACTTTGGTTAGGTGAATAATTGCACGCAGCTTATTGATGTATATTCACCTTTTGATGATCCCCTTCCCTCTGATCTGCTGATAGGAAAGAGCACAATGGGATTTGCATTGAAATGCTGCATATGATGAAAAGAGCTACTCCGGTTTAGATAAATTCTCCAGACCACTGCTGCACTTGTTTTAATTACAAACACAACTACCTTAACCACGCAGAACAGAGAGGAAAAAAGAACTTCATTTCTTCATATCTTGTGGAAGGTAATGTCTTCTTCTTGCCACATAAAATAAAGGTTTTCTCAACACAGAGAACAGCATATCAGGACTAATAAGATGCACTGTAATAAAAAGTAAGGCTGCAAAATAGGGGAAGATTTTTTGCATCCCGCTTTATGTTGGTGTAGAAGTTATTTCATTGAGGTTTATTGTACACTTGTGAGTAATTTAGGTAGAACTAAAGGTATAACTGCTTAATGCTGTGCAAGAAACGTTTCTTTAGGGAATGAGTTGCCCATTAAGCCTTAACAACGAGGCAGCAACATGGAAGAGAATGATACGGGAACCCAGTAAGTGACTCAGATAAAAACGGGGAGTTTTGTTGGGAGAGATTGCTATAATCCACTTCATTTCACAGCAAACCTTTAACGCAGGCATGGAGGTGATGCGTTTGATTTTACCCTGAAATTTCAGAGGGAAGCCCAGTGGAAAGGGAGTCATTTCAAATAAAAAATAAAAAAAACGCTTGCCATTATGTTTCAGTCATCCTAGTTTAAACTCGGTCAGGTTATAATCCTGACTTGTGCTGCTCTTAAGTGCTTGGAAAGAGGGAACCAAAAGCAGAGTTGGAGTCAAAGGCCAGATTATTGAGGTTTAATGGAAAGCAAGAGGAAACTCGAAGCTGAAGTCGAGGAGACGATGGAGATGAAGCGTCGAAGCAGACGAAGGTTTGGGAGCTGGCCGAGCTGGAGCTGAGGACAGAGAATTCAACAATTAGAATCACCTCAACAAGCCTGAAGTTATTCAGAGGTCAGGACCAGTACTGTCACTGAATCTGAAGGTCTGGTGATGAGTTGATGTAGAAAAGGATATTTAAGGAAGGTGGTGATTGGAAACAGTTTTGCCAAAATCCCGAGGAGAAGACCTGGCCTCATCATGACACTGTTTGTGTCTCCTTTATATTTAAATCCAAGTTTAATCCAACTGGATGGAGTTTGCAGAAATTGTAATATATATGAGTAAACATGATGGACTGCAGTTTCATTCCTATGATTTCTCTTAGGGAGGCCTGTATGCCGTCTTCACGGTTGAATTGCAGCTAACAACCAGCATTAAAATTGAAATGGAAAAATACTTAAAGGACAATTAAATGTTGTTGTAACTCATATTATTCAAGGTTCTCCAAATAGTTGTTGCAGATGGAGATGGCGGTGAGTAGGAAGTATCTCCTAGAGCAGTCTGTATAATGGTGAATTTGTTGTAGACTCTGTTTTTCTGTAACAGCTTCATGGTTCTCCACAATTGTCTTGATTTTCTGAAGAATCCTTCTTTACACTATCCTCTCCAGAGGTGTCACAGTAATCCCTACAACAGAACTAGCCTTCTTTATGAAGTGGCTTCGCCTATTGAAGTCCCTGGTTCTGATGATGCTTCCGCCACAGAAAATGGCAGAGGAGATCAAACTCTTAACAACAGACTTATAGAGATGTACAACATCTTGCTGCAAACTTGGAAGGATCTAAGCATCCACAAGACTGCGTCAAACTGAAAAAAATTATGAATTCTTGAACACATACACTACATGAAAATATTTGTTGCTTTTCTAATATAAAGCTGTGACGATGTTACATCATTACCCGTGTATTCAGATGAAAACTACGGCTCTGACGCTCTGGCATCCCGCACATTATTAACAATCAACATGCCGAAACTCTAGATGACTCTGGGATGGCTAGAGCCGCTGCTGAGACAAGAGTGACACACAGCAGGCCTGCATGGTCTAATATGCTGATATTAGAGCCAAAATGAAAATCTGAATGTCATGAACAAGCAACATGCCACCACTATGAAACCGCACCGAGACCGGAGGCACCTTTTTAAACCTCAGCACTGGCTTGCTCATGTGTTTCACCAGCAGACAGGGCGAATGGAAAGCAGAGAGAGAGAGAACCAGAGACTGACATGCAATTGCATCATAATTAACTGGGAGTACATGCACAGCACAGCTTAGTTTTTTTCATTCATTATTGGAGCAGAAGTGAGTCTTCCCGCCAGCTTGACACGCCCATTTTGATTCAAACAGACTACATCTGGTGATATCTATTAGTTACAGCTCACGCTTTTTCATTTCTTTTGTCTTACTCTGACTTTTATCTACAGTTTTCGGCAAACAATATCTCTGTGTTCGCATTCCGACTCATGCTACCTTGGTCTGTAACTCAGCGTTTCTTTCTGCTTTTCTAAATCGGCTGATTGAAGTGAAGCATTGGTGACGTAGTGATGTCAAACCGAATGCTGGAGACATGCAGGCAGATGGCTGGTTAAAGGTTCGCTGAATGGATGTCACTTCTGTTCCCAAAATTTAATGGACTATTATTTCCCACTCAGATTTTTCGGGCAAGTTTAAAAATTTCAGTTTCAATTCATTTATCACACATAGATACTAATGTAGCAAAATTTATGTGACTGCTAACTGTTATAGCAATGACCCGATAAGCCGTTCTGTCTGCGCTAACATCGATTTACTCTCCTCAGCTATTTGCTTCTTCTGATTAATTCAGATCCACTTCGGTCTATCAAAACTGACAGAGCATGAAATCTCAGTTTTCAGCTTTTTTTAAGTGGGTTGCTAATTAAAATTGACTTATTTTATCTTTACTTTGTGTTGTAATGTTATTCCCTCTTCAAAAACATACCTGGAGTTCTGTTTTAAATGTTTCATGCATGTTTGAGAAATCCTTTAATCTCCTGTGGAAGCCATTTGGCGGGTTGCTCTTGCCAAGCACCGCCTTTTCCACAAAACTCCACCTCAGAGCAGCAGTCTCCAGCTGATCCCCATCAGACTAGCGGCAGCAATTAGCAGGAGCATCTTACAGAGACAGAAGCCCAATTCAGATGCAAAGTCAAGTTTTGTTTAAGTCATGTTTGACATGCACAGCATTTTTTAAACAACCGATTGTGCTACAAAATGGCATTATATGCCTGGAACTTACATAATAATGCGTCTTTAAATGATACAAATCAGAGGCTGCATGACCTCTGATTTATCGAAGTGCACAAGCAACAGCCTTGGCAAAGTTTTGGCCTAAGGATTTATATTAGCTCAACATTTATTTGGAGCCATCAGGAACAATCTAATCCCATGAGTTTAAGAAATATTTTGGTTCTTAACTTTTGTGTCTAGTCACAAAAGGGCAAAGCCTAAAGATATTAGCGAGACAAATTAGAGATGCAGAGTGTACACGTATTGGACCTCGTTAGTGACATTAGAATGTTACAGAAATCTTTTCAGAAAGGCAGCAGTTTTTCACAGCTGCTTCTGGTGTGAAATGCTGTGGTGTTTGAGATATTGATATCATGTTGACACAGTCAGTGGCGACTCTGCTCGTTCACAGTGATGTAGAACTATTCCCCAGGAAGCATAGTGCACGAGCTGGGCCAGTGTTTGTCAGGCATCAATACCTTAGGCATGTAGAGAGCTGGTCTACAGCCAATGCTCTAGTCATCACATTAAGCTGCAAAAATGGCTGGACAGGGTGCCTCTCTAGCAAAGAGACCATGTGCAAAATCTGAAGGTTTTACTGTCACATATTTTGTCTGAGACAAATCCACTTGCCTTGTATTTCCATTTGCTTCTAACTCCTTTCCCCATGCAAATATATATTCATGTTGTCAAAAAAGAAAAATGTTACTCAGACACACTGATGCTAAATATTATTTTCAGATTAGATATATTTCATGAGTGTATGATGTATAGCTGACCTATCCAGGGTCAGCCATATTGCTATGGATATTATCTTATCTTGTAATATTTACATAATAATTTCTCCTGGTATTTGGCTCAAGGAAACTTAATGCTAAGTGATATAAATCTCTTCGGACTTTAATCAACAACTAACCAAGATTTGGCATACTAAGGTTTCCTAATGCAAAATATTCCACTTATTTAATATGCCAAACACAGCAATTCCCCAACTGTCTCAGCTGTTCAGCAAACATCTTGCCTTCTCCTATGCCTTAACAGAAGAAATTACGAGGAATATTTGCATTTACAACTTTGCTTGTCAAGTCAAAAGAGTAAACATGACAAAATTGCATTAGAAACAAAAGTTTCTGACCTATTTCCACAGATGCTGCAACTCCAGAATCAGATATTTAATATCTTTTGACTGACACTGTTTAGAAATTCTCTAAACAGAAATTCTGCTGGATTCAGCACAACTTAAATAAATAAATAATTTAAATATTCTAGCTCATTGCAAGTCACATGTCACTACTATACAGCAGTCCCAGACTGAGCTTGGCAGAACAGGCTTCAAACCAGCAACCACCAACTTTCACCGTCACTGCCACAGTCCACCCTATGCAGAACCAAACGAGATTCTGTTCATCTCAAGTTCTATTAAGTGATTCAGTATGTTTTTCTTAAACATATAATCGGTTGATTATGTATCTAACAAAACTTTGTGGTTACTTGCTTTAAGACTAATTGAGTTCTTTCTTCCTACAGTTTTCTGGGAACATGTCTTTCATTGACCGGTTCCAGTGGAAACCGTCTCAGCCTGGTAACTGGGGGATTGTGGAGTTGCTTCAACCATCAGTAAAATCTTTGTCAAATTCTCTCCTGAATCTTCCAGGTTGCATTGAAGCAACTGTCTCAGCTGTCCCACTAATGCTACCCCCTTGACATACAAAAATACCCCGAAAAGCAAGTTGGAAATGGATAATACTGAGATGAGTTTTATTTCAAGCCTTCCACCGTGCCATCAGCGCCTGAGATGGTCACCCCGGCTGTTCAATGAACACTAGTACCTTGTGACACTTGTGCACATACAATCTGAGAGCTGCCTGTGCTTCATTACCTCGCTGGACCATGATGATGCTGTGGCTTCTGCTGCTTTCGTCAGTTTGGGCGTGGTGTGAAGGAGCTGACCCCAGTGAACGCAGAGTCGTGGCTCACATGCCTGGAGACATCATCATTGGAGCTTTGTTCTCTGTCCATCACCAGCCTCCTGCTGATAAGGTGAATTGTTTTTTTTGTGTGTGTGTGTGTGTGTCTGCAACCTGATGTCAGTTTTCTAAACTTGAAACCCTGAAATTTTGTCCTTGCCTGAATTTTACTACAATTCTCAGAGTAATGCAAATTTAGAAGGAAAGGAGCAGGTAATGTCTTATATAAACTAAATAACTCTCTCTGCATCTTCAGTTAGTATAAATCTAGATCAATTGGTCCCAGAGACTAAAATGGTTTAAACCTTGTCCTGTCAGGTTGTTTAGTGGTGGTGCAACAACTACCACCTCCATTTTCTGTGTCAATAATCATAAATTTAATGGTTGGTTATAACGCATTTGTGGTTTTGTGGTTAGCAAAGTTTTAAAATAGTGTTAGCCTCTACTTTGGCCTCAGATTATCCATTAGCATTAACCTTCAGAAACAACTAATCCAGATTTACACTAAAGGAAAACAGTAGAAGGTTACCCACTGGAGAGACGATAACTGCTCACAATATTTTAATCAAACCTTATTTTAAAAATTCTGAACCGTTCCCTTAATAATGAAATAAAAATTAAATTATTATCAGTCCATTTACCAGTTATTTTTCTGGCCAGATACTTAGATATTACTTTAGAGAGAATCTTAACATTGCTGTCCAACTTACAAAAGAAAGGACAATGGAAACCTTTTTTTTCTGGAGCACTAGGAGCATTTAATTTCCATTAGTTGCTTCAGTAACCAATACACTCACCCATTGAAATTTTGTCTTTCTTCATCCCATTATGAATAATTGGACAAAAAGAAGAAAGCAAAAGAAACCTCATAAACAACAGCCCATTAAGCAATGCAGCCAAGTTACAATACAGTTCAAATTGGTGAAGCACTAATTGTTGTCTTTTCTTAATCTGGTCATTTTTTCTGATAAAAGTAAAGCACAGTGCTATGACTCTGAATTTGTTTTTGAATTCTGTCTGCTCAGGTTCATGAGCGCAAGTGTGGCGCGGTTCGTGAGCAGTATGGCATCCAGAGGGTGGAGGCCATGATGCATACATTGGACCGGATCAACGCCGACCAAAACATCCTTCCCAACATCACTCTGGGCTGCGAGATCCGGGACTCGTGTTGGCACTCGGCTGTGGCTCTGGAGCAGAGCATCGAGTTCATACGGGATTCTCTTGTGTCCTCCGATGAGGCTGAGGAGTGGGGCGGTGTGACCTCGTGGGGAGGAGGAGGTGCAGGAGGAGGAGGAGGAGGAGCGACAATGAAGTGTGCAGACCCATCTGCTACTCCGATGCGGGGAAAGAAACCCATTGTGGGCTTAATTGGACCGGGGTCGAGCTCTGTGGCCATCCAGGTACAGAACCTGCTGCAGCTTTTCAACATACCGCAGATCGCCTACTCTGCCACCAGTATGGACCTCAGTGATAAGGTGAGCCAGTCTATCTCAGAAGAAATTGGTTATAAATTGAAATACGAATTAGTTAATAAAATTTCATCTCAGTTAATTGCTAATTTATTCTCTATTCACTCGTTCTTTGCTTTATTTCAGAGCCTTTATAAATATTTTATGCGAGTGGTCCCTTCAGATGCTCAGCAAGCACGAGCCATGGTGGACATTGTCAAAAGATACAACTGGAGCTACGTGTCTGCTATCCACACTGAAGGTAAAACTAAACCCTTAAAAGAATCCTAAAGTGTGATAATACTGCAGTTGCATGATTCCAAGATTTTCTTTATTTAAACCTGAAAAGCAACAATTAAACTTATGGCTTCGAAAGCCTTCTAACACGTTTGTTGAAGTTATTTTTATCATAATATTTGTTTATTGTTATTACTGCATTTTTCGAACACAAAGAAAAAAAAACATATATTAAACTTCAGTTTTATTTAGTGATTTCTAAACTTGTGGTTTTGAAACTGGGCCTTTTTTTCCACTTTGATCCTACAATCTGACCGATGTCACATTTCTTTGCTCCAGTATATGCACAATGTCCGAGGAGCAATGTGAACTATATAATATTATATTAGAAGGTTCTTATTTAACCAAAGAGAAAAGGAAAGTAAAACAAGCTTAAAAAATAAAATAGGGTTATATTTTGCCAGCTGAAAGAAAAGGATAAAGCGAATAGTTTGCAGCACTGCCACTGCAGCAGAGTCGCTTAAGGCTGACGTTTTCACTTTACGAAGGTGAGGATGGTAGAAATTGAATTGCATTGGCTAGGTTGAAGCCTGCCAGAAAGCTGATAAAGCAGTTGTGTCCAAAACTAGGGAAGTAGATTAGTAGGTGATGCCTGCAGGACAGTCTGAACAAAAAGGTCAGGGGAAGCAGAGCAGCAGCTATGCCAGAGTAGATGGAGTGCTTGGTGATTTTGATTGAGAAAGAATCGCCATGAATAAACACCCAAAACTCTAGAGGAAGGTTTCGGAGAAACATGTAGAGACCTACAGGTTAATTTTATGCTATGACTATTTTTTTTTTTGAAGGAAAAGAAATAATCCTTCAGTTGCGCTTCATTGTTTGACATGCTGGGATGTTGAGTTACTCAGTCACCCAGTTTACTGCTGGGAAATGGTGGAGATAGTGCGGCTACTGGCTGAGGTGGAGGACAAAGCAATCCAATCTCTGCGGATGTCCACAAACAGCGATAAGGACAGACATTCACAGAGAGATACACCTTTTCACGTACAAGATTTTGTCATCAGGCTTTTCAGATGTCTATTTTGCTGGAGTTGCCATGTGTGTAAGGGTGGCATGTCTCTATGAAGGCACAGTATGTTCAAACAACATATGGTGTGAGCTTTCAGATAATGGGGGGATGGAAGCAGAGTGTATCATTTATAATATAAATGAGGAAAAATAGCTGATGCTGAACTTTATAAAAATGTATTTAACAAGCATGATTGGGTTTGCATGTAAAACTGCAGCTCACACATCGAAAATACTTTGATTTATGTAAGATTTATGAAGAATCTTAGATTTCAAAGATTGTTCATTTCATTCTTAGCCCTAGATCAGTTTTCCTGTATGAGGACAAAACTGCTTTAGTTTAGTTGTTATTCAATACAAGTTTGTAAAAGGAAAAGTAGAAATAAAAGATGTCACAAAATTTGTTGGGGGGACTTACAATCCTGAGTAATTGCCTGCTTGGTGTTCATGAGGAGATGAGAAGAGATAAAAGTGAAACACTCCTCAAGTACTCAGCAAACTAATTAAGCAGTAGGATGTTTGGAATCAGCGAATTAAACATCTAATCCATCACAATCATTTCAAATATACTGTGTAAAAAGTATTTACTCTCTCAATGTTTGTTTGTTTTGCTTTGCTTTTTGTCTTACCTAAATGTTCAGATCCTGAGACTAATGTTAACATCAGACCAACCAGAATAAGTACAAAATGTAGTTTACGAATAATGATTTCATTCAGCAAAGGAAAAACATCTTTCCAAAGCAAGCCGATGTAACAACAGTCATATATATTGATGGCGTTTTTCTCTTACTATATATCAAAATCATTCCTGTATTTAAATTGGTTAGTTTTGTCTAAATTTCAAATTTGCTTTTTGATCTGAATTGTTTGAAGTGAAACAAAAAAAAAAAAAACAGAATAAATCTGCAATGATGTGAATATTTTCCCCCTGCCATAGGTCTCCCTTTTGTTCTTGACATTATGCAAGACATCTTATGATGGCTTTGAAATAGACATATATTGTGTCCATTCAAATAGACACAATAGATGCCTATCTATTGTGTGACAAAGACTGTCTTTGTTGCACCAAGACATTCTTTAGTGTGGGGATGAAGGACTAAAGAATGTCTCACTATTGTGTCTTCCATGCTCAGTTTTGTTGTTATACATAAATATGATTGCCACAGAGATAGAGTAACTTATTTATTTACTAATGGCTGCTATGTTCGCAAATTTGTACGTTATTCGACGTGTGGGAGAAATACCAAATGCAGGCAGACAGAAGCTGCGTCTGAGCGACTGCTCTGATCAGGGAGGATTTCAGGTAGTTCAGACTCATCCTGAAGGAATCACAACATTTCCATGTTTCAGACTGATTAGGTGGTGATTAGAGTCTCTATTGGGAAAGAAAATAACTTTATTGAGGCAATTGTTTCCAAGGCTTCACTCAGAAGAATCACACTCCAGTATATTCATGTGATTTCCAGTGACCGGAGTGTTGTCAAAGAAGCAGGGTTGACCTTGTTATGCACGACTGCTGTCATATTAACTTTGCCCACTGAGAAAATTGTTTTTCATATTGAAGTTAGTAGAGACAAGCTGTCAAGTGGTTTATACTAACATATTAGTGCTATTAAAAATGGGGACCACTATCATATTTTAAGCCCCTTTTGGGCAAAACACACATCCACACTCTCTTAAATGAAAAAGACCCATTTCAAAATCACCAGTCTGCACCACAACAGTAAAAAAAAAAGACAAAAAAAGAGCTGGTCATGACTGACAGCCTTTATATGACAACTTCTGATATGGGGCTGAATTAGACACATGTGTTTTCAACTGAATGTAACTGTGACTTCCTTAATATTGAAGTCACAGTTATAAATAATCTAGAAATAATCTATAAATAATCATTCAACTTTTACCTCAGTTTCTTGTATGGATTTAGATCAAAACTTTGACTGTGCCATTTTATCACATTAATAGGCTTTAATCTGAGCCATTCGTTTGCAAGATGGTTTTCCGTGTCTTCCAGGAATGCCCATCCCTTGTGTTTTGCATTTTTTGTATGTCAAAAAATGTTTAATTTTGGCCTCTTCCGCATGTTTGTTATGTTTCCTCCCACTGCCAGTTGATATCTGTGCTCTTTTCTTGCGGCTTCCTTTTAACAGTCAGTTTCTTATTGCCATTCATCAACAAAAAAGCAAACAGGAGTATGTGAGATCTCATAACCCATCACAACACATCAATATGTATGCACGGCTGTGTATATTCTCTTAAACAGTCTTACCTGAAAACCAACTTGCGTTTAAAAGATGTTGTGGTATATTTATCCCCCTGCATAAGGAGTAAGGAATAACATTTGTCTCGTGTGTGACGTTACCATTTTTCCTTCACTGTGACTAATCTCCATACGAACGCGTTTCTGGGAGCTTGGCTTTTAATTTTAGCAACAAGACGAGAAGAATGTGGTGTTGCTGTGTGGGAATTTCAGGAGTGCTTGTTGCACTGTGTACAAATGTGTATGTTTGCCATAAAAGTGCTGGATTTTGTACTCACACAGACAAGCTGGTATAACCTTGGTGTGACATTCAATGGCAGGCATCGCCGTTGTTTGAAAAAAAAGAAGAAAAAAATACACAAGCAAAAAGAGAGAAGGAAGATGAAGAAGACTGAAAGGATTAGGAAGGAAAGAGAGGAAAGGAAATGAGTGGAAAGCTTAGGGTAGGAGATCAATCAGCATTCAGAAGATACCAAACGAGAGAAAGATCAGTATGTGTGTGTGTGTGTGTGCATGCGTGTGAGAGGCTCATTAATTTCTATTACTATTTCACATCTGGGAGCCAAAGACAGGGGACACTGATGTACCTGAAGCTGAATAATACATGTAATATTAGCACAATGATTACACTGAAGTAATGAAACACTCCTGGACAAGGGTGGAATATTTGAGAGAATAAATTTGTGTTGCTTGAAAATTTTGTGTAGTATATGCATGCAAAAGTGTGAGTGCATTCTGTTTGTTTCACGTATCCATTTAAAGTCTGCAAAACAAAACAGTTTGTGGTTGTTCTAGTAATCTGCAGAGACTCAAAGCTTATTTTTTTACTTTCACACCTTCACTAAGAAAGTTGAGTTGAGTATGATTTTTATTGATGCGTCATTCATCAATGAATGACCAATAAGACACTTTAAACATTTGATATAAACCAAGTAGAAGTCGCTAAAGCAAAGTTCTTAGATGAATCGCAAAGCACAAGTAAGATGTAAAACAATCATAAAAAAACAACAAAGGGCTTTTAAGTTCTGGGCATGTATGAAATGACATAAAACACATTGCTGCATGAATAGATTTCCAATGAGCTCTGTGGGACATCGTTAGTCAGATGAGTAGAATCATAAAATCATATTTTTTTTCTTTCTTTCTTTATCTTTATTTAAGGACTGAAGTTTGTTAGTTCTCCATATATGGTCACCTGAAATAGCGCCTCCTACTGATTAAGATTAAAATTTATTTGTAACGGGATGCGCAATGAAAGAGATGCAGAGTTTTACTATTTCAAATTTCAGTGCATTAACAGTTATTAACAACAGAATGTCAGAAACATTTGAACAAATAAGTGAAACAAATTCCCTAATTAGATACGTGCAATTTGCAAAAGTGTCAATGTGTTTTTACAACCAGAGAATTCAGAAATTAGCAACGGGGGAAACTTGCTCTGACTGTTTTACAGGTTTTACAACTCTGATTTCTAAATTGTGAAATGGTTAAAGTGTGATGAGAGTCAGTAAAAATATATCTGCTTCATCGTATTTACACAAACATTCAAAGCAAACTTCTGTCACGGATGTTACAAAATATACAGTAAGGCTTTTGTTTCAAACAGATTAATCATTTTTTCTTGCAGCTGTTTTGATACACAGTAGTTTTCAGATACTAACTGGAAAATATTTCACATTTTGCAAAGGGACCTTATCTATTTAACAGACATGCTGCTTCCAGAATTACCTTTATAAGAGTGGAGAATGTTCCTTTGGTTTCCAGTAAATAAATATATTTTATTACCTTAATCTGTCTTAAATAGTTGTTAGTTTAATGATAAAGCACCAATAATTACTCACAATCCAACAATAAGGTCAGCATGTTGTCTTTTTTCCTCGACTTTTTCTGCTTGGCTCTGCTGAGTTCTGCTCAATTGAGCTCATTGACCTGAAACTTCATGTGTCACCCACCCTCACTCTAACCGCAATTGATCAATCTCTCAATTAATCAAGATGCCAGGCTTCTCTCCACCTATGTCTCTGCTCAAGTGTGCTCTTTTAGTCTTTTTCACTTTTTCTCATTTCTGTCTCTTGTTTCTCAATCTTTTGGTTCGGGTCCTGGTGATCTCCTGGCTTTATCTCTCTGTCTGTTTCTGTTGTCCATGAATCATTTTTGTTTTCCTGTCACTTTACCTTGCATCACATTGTGGTCTGTAAGTGAAGGTAATGTTGGTATGGGAGGACAGTGTAGAAAAGGACATAGTGCATGGAGAAGAAGAAAGCCTTCTGCCAAATAATTTGTCATGCTGGTAGTAAAACATCCTGAGATGTGAGGATTCAAAGAGGCTCGTAAAAAGATTCAGGCAGATTCTGAGACACCTCATTACCTTTGTGTCTCATTGATCACTGGTGACTGGAATAGATAACCACTTCAGGATTTATGTTAAGAAAATCCAACTCTGTTAGCAAATTTAAAGGGTTTGAAGCTACTTTGGAATCATTTATGACAAATGATTAAGTTAGGGAATCCATTTAGAACCATAAAACTCCCAAACCCATCCCCGCCTGGGAAACAGTGTAACACTCAGTGTAATTAAGCAGTTAATCACAGAAAGTCTCCATGATATCCATAACTTCCACTGTAACCTTTGCACATTTCGATAATCTTTTGCCAACACCAGGCATATCTCTGTGATGTCACTGCACTCTTTTAGCTCTTAAATTCACCAAGTGAAACCCATTTAGATCAATTTTGATTGAAGCTTGTCTCTTGCTAAGTTACATGTATGACCAGTAAAAGAAGGATTTTAAAAACAAAACTGTGGGCAAATGAGTAGAAAAAAAGATACGAAATTAATGACCTATTCTGTTGATTGGCTATTTCTTTTTTGATTAAATAATTTTACATACGTCTGAGGAAACTTTAATGCTGTTTTGAACACCTCCACTGATGTGATGAACCCTTTGAGGAAGTCTGGGAGAAGACGGAGGGAAGGAGAAAGATCAAGAAGAATGTGAGACAGCTGGGGCCCTTAATGCAGTAAAAAAAGAGAAAAGAATCACTACATGTTTTTCTCAGAGTCAAGCTTTGACAAGAAGGAGAGGGGAAGCAGAAAATGAGGACGGATTTCAGGGTGAGCTACAGGCAGCGGGGGAACTGAAGGCCTAAAAGACTCAATTCTTTGTGTATAAGTTACAGTAGAACCTCAGCTGGTTACTGAAATGTGAAAGTTAGACCAGTTTCTATGCAACTCTTTTATTTCCACATTTCTCATATTAATAACAAGAGTGACGCCTGATATGGTTTCTCTGTTTCCAGAACATGTTTTGCATTAACAGATAGAACTGTACATTCTGTGTTTGTAACAATAGTAGTAGTAGTAGTAATAATAATAATAATAATAATAATAATAATAATAATAATAATAATAATAATAATAATAATTTTCTACTGCCACCTTTCTGCTGCCAAAGCTGGATGCAACACTTGGGATCCAATTTGGACATCTACATCATAAAAAAGTGGATTTTGTGGAAATAATCCCACAAATGGAAGACATTTTTGATGCAGTAGTGATGGGACTGCTCGGCCCACGCTGTCTTCTTTGTGGTTCTGACCTGTTTCAGATTGATGAATGGATATGCGTGTGTGTTCAGTGTATTTGTGGGAGTGTTTAATAGCACCCAGGCATATGTATCTGAAGGACAGAAACAGAGGAATGGAGAGAGTCTGAAAAAAGAAGGTCTTCCACAGAAATCCTGACTCCAGAATGAAGTAGGTTACAAGCTCTATAGATTGGGGTAATTGTGCCACAGTGGATGTGTGAGCGAGAATGTGAGTGCACGTCTCAAAGTACACATGGAAAGGATGGTCTCTGCCATCTGTCTCCCACTCCTCTCACTGAGACACTAATTACAGGACTTTACACTTCACTCCACCACCCTCATCATTGGTCTAACTACACACACAGTGAGCTGTACGGTGGTTTGGGATCTGGAGCCTTCATTTCCCACGGTTCCATTGTCTTTTCTCTCTGTTCTCTTTTTTTCACATAATGATCCAGGTCTTCCTTTTTTCATCTATATCATTTCATATTTCTCCTCTGGATTTGTTTGTTTGTTTTTTTAAATATCAGTTTATGTTGAAATAAACTGCTATCAGTAATGCCCAGTTAGGAAGTAGTTGTTGTTTTGAACATGTTAGAGGTTTAAAAACAGAGATAGATTGGAGAGCTTTGATATTTCCTTCAATGAAGTGGGGAGAGTTAGAATTAGAAACCAGAGAGGGGAATCCTATCACATTCGTTGCCAGTGTGCACAACCCTTCATTAGCATAAATTTCAGGTCACCCACTTTCTCTGGCAAAGAAAGGGGAGCAACGATGGGGATATGCTTTCATTGGCATGAAGTCAAACTGCTCAGGGTGGTCGAGAAGAAATCAAGTTGTTGCTGTCAGTATGCAAAAGTATTCCTCCCTCTTAAATAATTTCACAGTTTCAAATCAAAACCACAAATTTCAAAATATGTATATTTTTTTATTTTATGTAGTTCAACAACACAAAGTACTTTTTTTATATTTGTGAAAAAGAAAAGATGTATTTATATCTTATAATCCCAGTGTATTTATTTGCAAACAGATTTCGAGAAGAAGGTTTATCTCTGGATCCGCGAAGCTGTAAATTGCAACTAAAGCAATGTTTACTCAAGATAGCTCAATTTGTATTCACACCACACTTGCTATAGTTTCATTTTAAAAGAACTTGAAAAAGCAGGTACCTTTTTTTCTTTTTTCTTCCGAATTATGACTTGTTTTTTTGGCATATCATATAGAATGAAAATAGGGTTGTAATTGTACCATGAAAATGTTGAAAAGTTCTACTGATGAACTACGTATACTCTACATATATCTGAATAGTTGCATTTTCTCTGCTGCTGTGAAAGCAACTTTACCCCGACACTGAAGCTGTCTTGGCTGTCCTTTTCTCATTTGTTCAGGGAACTATGGTGAGAGTGGCATGGAAGCATTCAAAGACATGGCGGCCAAGGAGGGCATCTGTATCGCCCACTCAGGTAAAGATGATGGAGGACAAAATAACCACAGATTATGTAACCAGACAAAATCTATCATTAAATTATATTGACTTAATATTTAAATTGGGATTAATTTAATCATTTTAAATCTCAAATTTAGTGTTTGTTCAGACACAAAGATAATAAAGGAGAATACATCTGCAAGAGATTGAATTCCCACTAAGTGCTGTTTATGCATGTGAAAGAGCACTTCTGTCAGTTATTGTTTTTGTTTATTTGCTACCTTTTATTTTGTCAACGCCAATAAGACAGCACATTACTTCCTAACGCTCAAGGTAGACATCCAACAAAAAAGAAAGATGCTCTGTACTTCAATCATATATAATAAAATAAAACATTCACCAAATATTTCCACTTTTTATTTGTGAAGGAAAGACATTTTGCCACAACAAATTCCCAGGATCTTCTTTTTAGCCAAGGGAATAAAAACAAGCACATTATAAGGGTCAGAGACGTATTTCTTTTTCACACATTTTTCCTCTAGGTAAAATCTGGAGCAACGCTGGAGAGCAGAGCTTTGATCGTCTGCTGTTGAGACTGAAGGCACACCTGCCCAAGGCCAGAGTAGTGGCATGTTTTTGTGAAGGCATGACCGTTCGCAACATTCTCATGGCGATGAAGCGCAAGAAAGTGGTGGGAGAGTTTCTTCTTGTCGGCAGGTCAGTTTGACTGTAAAGCGACTTTCGGTTGTGTTGATTGATGTTTGATTTCTTGTCCCCTAAGAAAAAGGCTCTCCTTCTCAAATGACACCGAGTCCACTGAAAATGAAACGCATAAAAAAGGCAAAAAGAAAAAAAAAAAAAAAAGCATGTCACTGAAGCAATACAGACATAAGAAAACTGGCCAAAAATAATATGGGAGGAATTCAAAAAGCAACACAATTTGCTTCATGTCTTGCATTCACTACTTCTGCTTCAGATTTACAATGAAAGTTGCACTAAACTAATGAATACATGTCTATCAGGCAATCTCACTTGCAAAGAATGGCCATTTGGAGAGTCTGAATCCCAGCCAAGTATTTTATAAAAACAATGTCATTCATCTTAAAAACTCAGTAGGTGTAAATCACAGCAAAGTAACACGATCAGCTTAATCTGTTTTAAATCCAGCTCGACTCACTCCCTAAAGATGTTTTAGATTGTGCAGTATCAATTTTTCTCCACATCAACAGCCATGTCAACAAATACAGATTCAGTTTTCAATAAATTCACACTTTACTCCTGTTGACATCCTTTCTTTGAATCAGATTGCAGTGCAAGACTAAAATTACATTTTCTCCTCTGTTTTGAGAAGCAATTTGCTCAGTGACTCGATCTTCTTTTGCTTTTAGTATGAGAATTTGACAGATGTGCAAATGATGGTTTGTGGGACATAAACACGTAGTTTCATCAGTATGCACTCATATGCCAAAGATACATTCTTGTTGATTTTGCAAATTAATCAGACATAATGCTTTTGTGTAACTCAGAAATGTCACCTGGTCAATTTCTTAGTAATAGAAACATTGAAAAAGGACATTCATTACATGTTGATCTGTGCATTTGTATTTCTGAAAGCTCCACTGTAGCAGCTTCAGGTTTAGTTGTCATGCCAACTGTTAATTAACAAAGCATGAATAATTATTTCAACACCTTTAGTTGCCCTATTTGTAGACAGCAAAACAAGTCTATGATAGAATGGGAACAGTATTCTGTGATTTATTTGCATTAAATACCAAAAACATAATTCTTTTCAATTCTACTTCTCCCCCAGATATCAGTGTTGTGTGTTTCAGTCATCGTAGATCGCAGCATCATTTGTGTTGTCATCGCCAGCATGATGCTCATTATCATCTCACTCATCCTGCACTCATCACTGTCCCCATCGTCAGCATCCTCATCATCGTCTTTCTCTGGCAACTGAGGTAAAGCCATGGACCGCAATGAATCTGTTGTTTGTCTAGGAGATGATAGACAGAGACTCTAAAATAGAGATAAGCATTCTGTTCTCATAAAGTTAAAGAGGTTTATGCGCAACTTTGATAAACAAAAGCTTTTAAGTTGACTGTATTTATAAAAAATGCAATTAGAAAAATGATCAAATGATGAGCCAAGACATTCGTACACAGTTGCTTCCTAAAACTTCACCTGCAAAATGATTTACTACATAGAATAAGCATTCTGTGCAGAATAGCGACCAATTATTTATGTCTTAAAATTGCCTTTTGGTGCAAAATCAGTAATTTAAGGATACAACAAAACATCAAAACATCTTGGACGGACTGAATTTTGCTCAACAGACATCTAAAACTTACCCAAAGCTTTCTGTTTACACTTACAAGGGGATAATTGATCAGAATCAGATTAATTTGTTGAACAACATTTTAACTACATAAAGTTATGATGACACACTTGCTAAAGTGTGGGACTTTAAGTCAGACTCACAGAAGCTTTTCAAAATTTGGCATTTCTTCTCCTGAAAGTAAACGTGAAAGTTTCCTTGAAATAGAGCATTTACACTTCATGTCTGGAAGTCCTCTGTGTCTGGCCAGTTAGAATTGATTCAGTCAAATCTAACGAAATCAGTCCAGTTAATTGAATATTAGCCTCCATTAGCATCTGTATCATAAACACACTGCACTTATAAATTAGACACGGTCATGGGTGGGGTACCCACTCATTGGGGGTCTGCGGCGTGAAGTTCTGATTAAGCAATTTGAGCAGATGTTCATTTACCATCGGATAATTACAGTACCAAAAGAGCATACAGTTTGAAAATACTTGATGACGTCTTTTTTTTTTTTTTTTTGCAAGGATTTAAAATGTCTTAAAATTTTCTGGCCAGTCAGTTCTGTGACCTGTCTCTTTTTCTACTATTATGAACAAAAGATATTTAATTCTACATGTCTGGATTTTCTTTTGAGTTCCGAGTTTTTCTGAAATTTTGGATTTCTTATTGAACCTAAAAAAATGCAGCAGTAATGGAGTAGGAAGTGTGTTGTTTAGTATTCGTGATGTTATATTTAAAAAATCATCAGTTCTATTCAGCATTAAAATCCGTACTGATCGAGTGATTGTGTTTTACCTATGACTCTAAATGCCAAAGTAATGTTTAATTTCTACATTTTTTTCTCAATTCAGTGAAAGTAGAAATGCCACAGTGTTATAACAGCATCACGGATTTATTTCTCCCATACAGTTGGCTAAATAAATAATAAATACTGAATTAAAGCACCCAGCTAACACATCACCAGCAGACTTACATGCACTCTTAGCAGTGCAGACGCACAGGCACATCTATCTGCTCCAGTCTATTGATTGTTTTAGTCCTATAATTCCTTGTGGTGCCACAGGGCTGCATCCTCATTAAAGAGTGGCTGGGTTGAGATATATGACTGTCGGCATACATGACTCACTGCCTGGACTTTACACACATTAACATGCATGGCGTTTGAGAGCACAAACTAGCATTCGATCATGTCAAGTTACGAAACGATCTGCTATTTTCCTTTATGGAAAATGTTCTCCGCTCACTGAACAGTGAGGTCTTACCAATGGTTGGCACAGATCTCTTTCAGTGTCTCTTCCACCCATATCTTTTAGCTGGTTTGGAGTTTGGTATAATATCTGTGACTTACGTGGTGACATAACAGGGACATTCTTTTTTTTTATGATCTGGACTGTTATTACAGTGTGATATATATATGGGTGTTGCTTCCAAGCCCAGCCTGCACCCCCTGACCCATTGGTATGTGTCATCTCCATTTCTGCAATTTATGATCTGTTGTTTTTTTATAATTTGCAGCAGCTTTTTATAATTTGCAGCAGCTCTGCATCACATGTTCTCCTGATGTCATCTATACTGCACATAATATTAGCATTGACAAAAAAGGAGAACAATCTCAGCGTTGGCTTGTCAAAAGTGATTGGAGAATGACTTAAAAAAATCACAGCTCACATGCTTTGCATCATGCCCTGCAGTTTTTGCTGTGTGGGTGAATTGCCATGGCAGCCAGAATATAACCAAGGCCAAATTTTTTGCATTTAGGAACTGTAGTGAAAGAACGGCTGCCTTGGTGAATGAATCGAATACAACAGTAGTTTGAATCAGAAGTCAAGCAGACTCTCTATGGAGATCATCCCACATAAGTCTGCACCCCTTCTGTCTGCTGTTGCCATGGAAATATCCTCCACCATATTTGGATGAATCCAGCATAGCAGCAGGGTGATGCTACATGCGGCGCATGCGCATGTGTTTATGTGAATGGGTTTGTGCATGCGTGGGTGATCTGTGTGTCTAAGTCTGCATGACTGGATCCATAAACGTATTTTGCTTGAAATTAGATAAACGACTGAAAACACACTTATTGATAATATGATTATGATACATTTTTTGACCTTCATGGGCAGATTTTTTTCCCCCTGTGTTTTCTTTCTTCTCCACTTTCTCAGGGCTTTATCGTTACATCATCATTTCTCTGTCCCTCATTGAACCCACCTGCCTGGATTCTGTCAGACTTTAATTGTGTCCAGTGCAGTATGATTGTTTACTCAAGGTCACAGCCTTCCACCTTCCCAAATGACTCAGTTTTTGCATTCTCGAGGTTTTCAGTCAGGGAACAAATAGGAGGAGAGATTTGAGGGTCTCAAATCAGAACGAAGAGGATGGTTTCCACTGAGGGATTATTGTTTTCCTTAAAGTTACCCGTCTAAACACAAAATACTGGACTGTGAAACGTGATCATCAGAGTTCGACAATGCACCTACTGTGTGTCCCTACAGAGTCTGTTTCTGGTTGTGAGTGGATTTGAGTCTTTGTTATGTTTGCTGGGGTTATGGTAATTTGCCCATGTCATTTAATAGGAGAAATTAGGGAAATAAATCCTGCTCCATTTTTCATATGTTTGTGAAAAAGCATTGCTAATTAAACACTGACAAATTTGCTGTAATGAATGATGGATGCTTAAGAGGGGAGGGTGAAGATAAAGAGAATGTTGTTCTATTACAGGAGTGATTCTGTAGTCTCATACGAATATTTCAAGTTGGGTTTGTTTGAGTTATGTGAAAGTGCTGCATACAGTATTTGTTTTAAAATGTAGAATTTGACACCTTTCGCACTATTCTGGCTGTGATTCTCCTCGTTGCTATTTATATTGCAGAAAGCTGCCATGTTTACAGCTGGACGTTTTTGTTCCACTACTCTGTCCTCTCTTATAAATGTGGGTGTTTATTATGCAGATTAGCAAAATTAAGTATAATTGGGCATAATTTTGACTGCATGATGGACGCAAAGTGCTTCCAATTCAATCCTTTGCATTTGTGGAATATGCATTAACCCGCATTAGGGGGATAAATACAGCATCTTGACAACATTAGGACCAGATGTGGTCAGAGACAAATTCACAGCAATAAGCGAAGGGACAACTCAACACTTTCCCACAATAATCACGGATGTCTGGTGAACCTTGTTGTTCCGAGGGTCAGGTTGGAGCACAATATTTTTTTCATTGTTTCATGAGTTGGATAATACTTTTTTTAAAACTATGCAATATAATTATTTCTGACATGACTTGAAATACAAGTCATCTGTTGACAATTTCAGCAGTTTGCACTTACTTTCTTGCCAATGCCAACTTATTTTAAAGTTGGCACTGGCTGCTGTATGTGACTTTTCTAAAAAC